CTGTCAATATAATTACAACAAACTTCACTTAATGTATACCAGAATGCAATTAATTAACTCACCATATTAACCAGTGCTTTAGTCATAAGTTCTTACACTGATCCTAGAGCTGTTCCACGTATTGTATGGGGCCTGAGAAACCTCCAGCAAGCATCCTTAAAAGTTGAAATTTTGTTTAGCATAGGATCAGACCCAGCAGCACCAACTTGACTGCATGCCTGGTATAATCCACGTTCACATTACATTAATGCCACAGATAGACTCATTGATTCCCATCAATCGTAGTGAACAAGAGTAAATATGCAATAATTGTTTATTTAAAGCTCGGCACAGGGAGGGGTGAATTGAAAATACTCCTAACTCCTAACTATATCAACTTTATTAAATTGATCACCGTTTTCAATGAGCTTGCAAGCTCAAGAGTTTTATTATTGCACCACTAGTCAAGCAATGCTGCAAAAGGTTTCTAAATTTTGCAAATGAAAGTTAAGAACAGCATCAATGGACTAGAAAATAACATTTTCAGCTTACTGAGAATAGCATTTCCAATTAAAATAAGGTATTTGATGGTTATTGTTTAACTACTTGTTCTTTGTTTCCAAGAGCAAAAAGTAAAAGAAGTGTTTCGATACAAAAGGAAAGATTATTTTTTAAAAATCTAACTTTTTGAATTATAAATTTTAATCAATTATTGTTTGCTTTTGATTTAATTTAGGTAACCAAAAAAAATGGCAAAAAGCAAGTAGCTAAAAACAACTATGGAATGATTGATGGAAATCTTATAACATGATTATTCTCGAAGATAAATTGATAAATCCAAGAAGTTCAAGTCATTAAACAGAAGTACAGAACTCAATTCTCAATTTCAAATTTTGACTGTTCTCACTCAGGCCCAACCATAACCAACAAAAAAAAAAATTTTGAACTACGGATTTGGCAAAACAAGACATACCCAAATTGAATTACGCTTGAATTGCCTAGTTGGGACATGTTTTGAGCAACTTGATTGACTGTAAAGCCCAACTGAGACCCCATTTTTGAAGCATTTAAAAGACAAGTCAAGAAGCTTGCCATTGAGCTTACTGGGTATTGCCTTTGGCTGACAAGATGAGGCCTTGCAATGAGGATTTACAGCTGAAATTCCAAGAGAAGAGTGGGAGAGTGAGAGCTCCATACCAAAAAAAAAAAAAAAGAGTGAAAAAGATTTGGACTTTCGACAACCAAGAATTAAAGTTCTGGTCTTTATAGGTTCATGATTTTACAGTTGTGCCCTTGGTGGTGCTTCTCCACTTTATTTCTTTTCTAACCTTCTAGTTTTTATATTTATACATATTGGTATAAGTTTATATACCAACATGCCAAATCAAGGGCCTATTAATCAGCAACCAGCTTCTAACCCCAAATCAAATCACCAAATGACCGCAATACCCAAACTAGAAAGGCCAAATCCAATGGACATAACCGTCATTCCAAAAGTTTTGTCGATATAAACCCTAATTCTAGGGCTCGCTCTTTCCCTTACTCTGAAAATCGCAAGAGAAGTAGCCGCACGCCCTTTGCTCTCCTCAAACCTTCGTCGTCTTCTAGCCAAGGCTCAGTCAGGTTATCTCTCTTGCTGTTTCTGTTTTTCGTCGTTTACTTTAGTTATATTTAACATTAGCTCTCTGTTGTTTTGCTGATTATAGATTTGTTTTTTTTTTGTTGGGTAAAAAGTCGTTTTTGATTAATTTTAACATCAGTGATCTGGTTTAAGCTGTTTTTAGGAATAACTTACTTGATTATTTGCTAAACTATGCTGTTGAGTTGCTAAAAATGAAGGCAGTTTGGATTTTTCAAACCAATGTTGGAGTGTTTTGGTGGTATAATTGTCAATTTTGGTGAAATGGGTTTTCAGATTTATGATCAATAATCTTGTTTAAGGTGCCCTTTCTGAGTTAGTAGCTAGGCTAGCTCTGGACTAAAGATTTTAGATTCGATCGGAAGTGCTTTACTTTTTATCTTCAAAATAGATATGATCTTTGAAACATGGGTTTTAGAAAACATGTGTTGGTTTTGATTTGATTGCAGAATGGATTCCCAAATTAAGCATGCTGTGGTGGTGAAAGTTATGGGAAGGACAGGATCAAGAGGTCAGGTGACTCAAGTGAGAGTCAAATTTTTGGATGATCAGAACCGATACATTATGAGGAATGTTAAGGGACCGGTTAGGGAGGGAGATATTCTCACCTTGCTTGAGTCTGAGAGAGAAGCTAGGAGGCTTCGATAAGCGGTTTTATCTCAGTTTCATTACATTGTTGATGTTATGTTGCATTAGCCTAGTTCTTTTCTACTGAGTTTTGTTACTTTTAAAAGGTGTCCAATTTCTCATATCAAGACTTGGATTTTGGGACAATGGTTTGCATGGATGAGTTGTTTTAAAACTTAAGTATGATGTTGAAATGAACTAAGTTGGCTTTGAGATTATGAATTTTGTCTCCCATTAATCTTTGTTGTGTTTTTACTATTTCTTAAGACATGTAAGGAATATCCGATTGGTGCCCGTTTACATTCTTAAGAAATATACCCTGATGCTTGGGATGTGCTTGGTTCTGCTTTTATTTTCAAACTGAGAAGCAAAGCCTTGCCACTTGGGCAAGGGCTCTGCCTGATTCTATAATGTTAGGGGGGCTGGCTTAAGCTGGTGCCTGAATGCTAAACCAAAGTCTGGTTCTTGGTGGTTAACAAAAACTAAAGGAACTATCCACCAAGTTACTTCATTGAAAAATCAATGAAAAACTATACCCATTGTTGATATTTACTTTGTTTTTTCTGCTTCTCTAGGAGTATGCATGTTTCAAGTTTTGTTTAAGTTCACCCTTGAATATTTTTGACCAAGTTGGAAACTTTTGCCTCAAGATCTTCTATATTTTGTTAAGGTTTCCTTTCCCACTGGAAGCCTCCCTAAGAATGTGAAGCTTGAAAACTGTTAATATTTTTAATCTTTTCTTTCAGAATAAGAAGGTAGAATTTTATATTATAAGTTTCACTTTTGGTCCTTTGCCATTCTTCCTTAGCACGTCATATTTTGCTGAGTCCATGCAGTATTTTGTAAATTGGTTGTAAAGATGTGTTCTTTTCTTCATTTTCTGTAATGCTTTTTATTCTCATCGAGAATTTAATAGTAAACATGGCGAATGCCCAATTTTCGTCTTCTAAGCAAAATTTTTAAATGCTTTTTAAATAGTAATATGATTTTTAAAATAATTGTATTAATATTTATATTTTCAAACTAATATTTATTATAATGAGTTCAGAAATAATTTGTGTATTTTTTTTTACTTTTTTCTAATGTTTAATATATAATATAATGTCTTTGTATTTTATAATGATTTTAATAGATTAATATTATTTTCTAATTTAAATGTCTTTTAAATAATTTATATTGTAAAAATTAGTTTACTTAATAAATAAATATATTTAATAATTTAATTATATTTATTATAAAATAAATAAAATATTATTATTTTTATGAATTATTATCTTTAAACAATGTTTAAATCATTAACTTGTATAATTATTATAATAAAAGTGGTTATTTTGGTATTTTAAATAAAATAATATTTGATTTTTAATAATATGAAATGTAGTAATCGTTATTTTATATAAATTAATGATATTTAATCAAATAAATTATTTTAAATCATAAGTGATAAGATCACTTTAATAATAATATAATTTAGGTGATTACATCATCATAATAATCTCAAAAATATACTAAATGCTGCATTAGATTAAATAAAATACTATAGAAATGATATGCACATTATATTTAAAATCAAACAGACATACTGATGAGTAAATATTCTTTTCATGAAAACTATTTTATTAGTAATTAGTAATAAAAATAAAGCAAAGATTCTTAATTCATTTTTTTTATATATATAACGTGTTTGCTTGCTTCCTTTTATATGGTTCATATTAGTAATTTAAATTTATGTTGCATTTTCGTATAAAGTTAAAATTTATATTATATATGTAAAGGCTACTTCAACATTTTAGGTTTTTAATAATAATTTTCTATAATTAATTTTGAAATATTCTATATTTTTAAATATTCTTTTTATCCTTTTATAGGATATTATTATTTTTATATTTTTAGTATTAAACCAATTCCTTTATTTATATATTTATTTTTTAGTTTTAATTTTTTTATTGCATCTGCAATATAAACTAAAACAAAAGGTCTAATTGTCTAAACATTCTATAGTCTAAAATTATATTGTTAATCAAAATTAATTTTTGGCTTAAATTGGTTAGCAATTATATTAATTATATTATTCATGTCTAAACATATCGTATCATATAAAATTTAAATATATTAATTCTATACGTGTTAATTGTAATATGCCACGTGTGATATTTACAATAAATATATAGTATTTGTGTTTAAATTTTTGACATGTTTAATAATTTATGTAATATTTGTGTTTTAATTATTTGTATTATGAAATTCATAAATACTATAATCATTCATGGCGGGTTAAATTTGATTGAATAGATTTGAAGAAACTATTGGTATAATTTATTATGTAAATAGTTATATTTTTTTTTACATGTCTCAGTATATGTTAATTTTTTTAATTTTTAGCAATATTTGTTGATAAATTTTTAAATTTGATTATTTTTGCATAAATTATTTTAAATTATAAATCTTCCAAAGATAGTATTTAAGTAACAAATGAAGACAAAAAAATAAAAAATAAGAAAAATAATGCTTAAAATTTAATTCCTTATAATTATAGATAAATTAAAATGTATGGTAAAAGTAACAAATTTATGGAGAAAAACAGCAAAAATTATGTCTAAATAATTTCTCCTGCAATTGTGGTTGGAAATTTGATCTTGTGGGTCTCTAAAGGCATATATATCTAGGTCTACTCCAAGAGTAATTGGGCCTTAATGGTGATATCGATTGGGTCAAAAGCCCAAATACTAACCCTAAAATGGAAGCCACTAAAAACCCTAGTGTCAGGCTGTATAATCCATATATCTATATATTTGACGACTAGGGTTTTTTCATTTCCCCAACCCCTACTGCCTGTGAATTACACCCTTAGCTCGCCGCTCCCTCTCTGTCTCTCTAGTCACAGGTTCTTTTTTCTCTCTCAGAGACTTATTTCGATTCTGTCTTTCTCCAAAATCTATTATTATGTTTGACTCTGTTTTTGTTTTCGTAGGTATGGCGACAGCCGTGGCAGCCCCCGTGACCACCGCGTCTCAAGACACAACCCAACCTCACTTCGAAGTCAAGCTCTTCAACCGCTGGAGCTTCGAGGAAGTTCAGGTATTTCTTTTTTATCTTTCCCCTTTGCCTCTCTGTTTATTTCTTCGTGTAGATCTGTTTTGCCTTTCTTTGGGGGCTTTATTATTTCTAAGTTTTATTTGAAATGTGTCATTTTAATCTGTATTTTTTTCTTTTGTTATTGTTTTTGTTCCTTAGTAAGGATTATACAAGTTGAACATCAAAACATTTTTTTGGTCTTTTTAAGTCAATTGGATCTAGTTGGACTGGAGAATTGTAATAAAGGAATTTTGTTTCATAGGGAATAGTTCTTCATGTGAAGTAGATTCTAATATATGTGTTTCTGACTTGACATTCTTGCTAGAGGTTCTAGTTATGGTTTTATCAATATGTTGAATTTGTGTTATCAATTTATCAATCTATGTTAGCATCGAACATATAGATGGGATATCAATGCTTCGACGATATTGTTTTTCTCTGATTTGAGCATACTTATGTGTTGTCTTTGCTGTTAATGATAATTCAGAGTGACAATTTTTTTCTCCTTAAGGTTTGTCTATATTTCGCTTGTTGTATTGTAAATTTTTTGAGCAATTGTTTCTTTTGTAGATTAGAATAATCGGATAAGATGTGGTGTGTTAGATTGATTTTCCAATTGTCTTAAGACACTTGGTTGGAAAGAACTAGGATCCTTATTCTTATTCGCCATGATCCTTGACATGAATGATTTATCTATTTTAGGTTGCTGATATCTCTTTGAGTGACTACATTGGTGTCCAAGCCTCCAAGCACGCGACCTATGTGCCACACACTGCTGGGAGGTACTCAGTTAAGCGTTTCAGAAAGGCTCAGTGCCCAATTGTTGAGAGGCTTACAAACTCACTGATGATGCATGGCCGAAACAACGGGAAGAAACTTATGGCAGTCAGGATTGTGAAGCATGCCATGGAAATTATATATCTCCTCACTGATCAGAACCCAATTCAAGTCATTGTTGATGCTATTATCAACAGGTAGCCTATATGACCTGAAGCTTAGTTTTTTCCTCTTTCAAATGTATCACCAGCTGATGATAACCTGTCTAGTATCAGATTATGTTAATTAATGCATCTTCTGTTTTTGGGTCATCTTTATTAGATTAATATCTAATAAGCAATGTTTCTTTCTGATTGATGTAACAGTGGACCACGTGAAGATGCAACTCGTATTGGTTCTGCTGGTGTTGTCAGGCGTCAGGCTGTTGATATTTCTCCTCTTCGTCGTGTGAATCAGGCCATCTATCTCCTGACCACTGGTGCCCGTGAGTCTGCATTCAGAAACATTAAAACCATTGCTGAATGTTTGGCTGATGAGCTTATTAATGCTGCAAAGGGATCATCGAACAGGTAAATCGGGGACTTTCTGTGTCATCTCCTTGTTTTGCCTTGAAATTAGGAACTGCTTTCTCATGTGTCTTGTGCTATTCCAATTACTTTTCCTTCTTGGATCATTATGCTCGTCATTTCTGTTGATGCCGACAATATTCTTGTTTGTGCAGCTATGCCATCAAGAAGAAGGACGAAATTGAGAGAGTTGCCAAGGCCAACCGTTGAGGAATTGAATGGAGAATTTTGTTGTTGAATCAGTACTTTATAACTTTCCTGTTTTATCTCCTGGACATGCTATGAATGTTTTGTTTGTTATTTAAGTTGACAAGTTAGTTTCTGGTTAAAAAGCAGCTGAGTAGATATTGTTAAAGAGCATTTTGCTTATTGATTAATGTGATGCATGTTTCAATGAATTAAAAATTTGATTGACTTGGTTGTGATTTCCCATTCTTGGTTGAAATTGTTATGTAATTACATTGCCAGTTGTGGTCGCCACTGGCAGATGCAAGTCTGTTGCAATCGTGGGATTGCAGGGAGTTTTAGGTTTGTTTGGTAGAAAATTGACTTATAAACGGAAAATGATTTAATAATCAAATGATAAATGAGATTATTTTTTAAAAAATTGTCTGTAAATTACGAATTTAAAAAGGTAAAGATTTTTTTTACAAAAGAACTGTCTTTACGTAGAATTATTTGTTAAGTATAATTTTAATTATAAATAATACTATATTGATAAATAATATTATATTAATAAATAATATATTAATAAAATTATTATAAATAAATATTATACTAATATGTTAATGTTAATAAATAATATTTAAAAATATTTTAATTATTAATAAATAATATAAAGAATAATAAATAGTTTTATTTTAATTTTTTATTATTAATATAATATTATAATATTAAATATTATGATTAAAATATAATTATTTTTGAATATTAATAATTTTAATAATATATAATTTTTAATATTTTAATAAGTATATTAGTTTTTTTTTTTTATAAAAAAGAGATTTTTCAAAAAACAACAAAACAACAAAAAAAAATTTCATTATTCGTCTAAATAGCAAAAAATTTATTTTAATTTAAAAAATGTAAATAATTTTTTAACATTATTTTTTGAAAATGATTTTTTGTGAAACAAACAGTTTAACCTTCACTTCCAATCGGCTATCAAACAAAACTGAAATCGTGATCTTTTGTTTCTTCCCCCATTTTATACCAATTACCAAAGTAAAGGTTAGTGTGTTCAATATTGCTATCCCTTTGTTTAAAGAAATCCCCCAAATTATCTTCCTTGGTAACGGTGGTTAGCTTCAAGCGCTTTCTACTTCTATAATTTCTCTGGAAGTAAACCAATTTCTTTCTTATTCTCCCTCCCTCCCCTCCCAAACTAAGATTTTGACTTGCATTTGACTAAAAGGAGATGTTTAAAATGTTCAGTAACCCACAACTACAAGACTCAAGCCCAGAGCCCCCAAACTCTAAAACCCTTAACACCAACAGCTTGTTAATCTCCTTTCGTCTTTTCCCTGCAAAGGGAAGCATGGCTATGGAGTTGGGTCTTTAACAATTTTAAAACCCATTTTCATTTTGATTTAAAAAATGCTTTGGATGTTTCCTCGTACACCACATAATCAACTGGTCGAAGAAAAAAGGCGATGATGGAACATTCAAATTCAATGAAGGAGAATGAAATGAAAAAGGTAGTTGAAGCAATGAAGGAAGCCATATTGATTAGTAAGCCTCCGTGGAAGCCTAGTAAGAAAAGCTTAGCTGCCTGTCTAAAGTACTAAGGGAAGGAGATATGGGAACGCAGAGAAATTCATAAAATTGCAAGGAGATAAGGATATTATCGCCTCAGAAGTTCAAGGTAATAAGTTATTGAGCTGTGTAAAAGATGAAAATGGGGTATCGTAGTCGGAAGGACTCGTAATGCTGGCTGCTGGTGCTTCGCATGGAGGGGGGGCGGGGGAAACACATCAATTTTCAGAGCTGGACGAGGACGACATGGATTGCAAACCAGGTAGACATGTTTGGAGTCAGGTTGGAAAGCTTTTGAACTTATCATAGCAAATGTGATCTCGTCGAAAGCCGGAAGTAACAAGTTCCTTAGTTGAATCCTCCCGTTTACGGTGATTAGAGGTCCTGTCCTGCTTATGTGCATTCTTGTTTAAAGCAGCCCCAAATAAACTACTCATCATTTTAAACAAAAAAAAAAAAATTCCCAACACTCCTAGGCGAAGAATTAAGCAAGGAACAGATATATCGGATATAATTCCAAACAGATCCACACTAAAAGAGCAGCTGAAAAATGGAAGAAGAGCTTCGGCCTCGTAAAAACGACGACGTTAATGACCCTGACGAGAATGAGCCACCAGCCCTGAGCTCTCATGCACTAGCAGTTTTGAAAGAGTTCCTCGAGGAACAAAGTCAGTCTCTTGCTAACCATGAAAATGGAGGAGGAGGACGAGGAACTGGAGCGGAGAGTGAAGTGGCGTTACTAACAGAAGATTGGAGGCTGAGCCAATTCTGGTACCATCCATAAACAGCCCGGACCGTTTCCCAAGAAGTTCTTTCTCTTTGCAGTGAATCCATTTACAAACTGGCTTGTATTGCTTGCCCAAACCTCTATGTCTATCTTAAGGTAATTTTATCAAATCCTTTCTCTTCTTTTTTGAAAAGGCTTTTCACTTTAGTTTTGGTAAGAAAGATTAGCAAAGAGTAAATAGTTGTGGAAATTGAGTAAAGGGTAATGAACTGTGCATTATACCATTTTAATCTCAGTTGTTGGTTTAGTTGGGTTTTGGTGTTAAGGCCAGATCGATCATAAGTAGAATTTGTTATGAATTAAAATTAACTGTTGATGGAAGAGGCTGAAGCTTGACTCTGGTCCGATTCTTAAATGATCAAGTTAGTAAGGTTTGAGAAAATTAAGAGAGAAAGGAGAGGGAGAAACAGAAACTCTATAGTACTAAACTCATGGAGACAAGCTTACCATATATTTTCACCCAAAACAGTAAGGGTTGATGTTGTCCTTCAAGGAGTCAAAGAAAGGAGACGGAATTAGGGAGGTTGGTGTTTTGAATGCTTTAATTAGAGAAAGAACTTGATTCCTTGAATTGAGATATAGTTCCTTGTTAAGGATGAATGAGGGACGTCCAGTCGCGATCGAGAGCAGGAAGCTGAACAAGACTGAGCGCAAGTACACGGTCCAAGAGAAGGAGATGATTGCAGTGGTGCATTGCTTGCGCACTTGGCACCATTACCTGTTGGGGTCGAGGTTCGTAGTTAGGACAGACAATGTGGCGACCAGCTACTTCCAGACGCAGAAGAAGCTGTCCCCCCAAGCAGGCGAGATGGCAAGATTTTCTTGCAGAATTTGATTTCCAGATGGAGTACAAGCCAGGATGGGTGAACCTAGTGGCAGACGCCCTGAGCAGGAAGGCTAATCTTGCTGCCATTAACCAACCAGAGGGGTCACTGGTGCCGCGCATCAAGAAGGGACTTGCGCATGATCCTATAGCCAAGGCTCTGATGGAGTACGCCCAGCAAGGTAAGACTAGGCAGTTTTGGTTGCAGGATGGTTTGCTGTACACCAGGGGCAGTAGACTGTTTGTGCCGCAGCACGAGAAGCTCCGTAATGAAGTTTTGCAAGAATGTCATGATTCAAGGTGGGCTAGACACCCCGAAGTGAGTCGCACCTTGGCGCTGATCGAGGACCGGTACTACTGGCCGTACATGAGGGACGATGTGGAGGCCTATGTGAAGACTTGTCTTGTGTGCCAACAGGACAAGGTAGAGCTCAAGAAACCAGGCGGTCTCTTGGAGCCATTGTCAGTGCTAGAGCGATCATGGGAGAGTGTTTCTCTGGACTTTATAGTCGGTCTACCCAAAGCAGAAGGGTTTGGAAGCATTATGGTAGTGGTGGACAGGTTTTCCGAGTATGGAATCTTCATTCCAACAACCAATGAGTGCCCAGTCGAAGAGACAGCTCGATTGTTCCTGAAGAACATGTTTAAGTACCGGGGAGTGCCGAGGACCATTTTTAGTGATCGGGACGGGCGTTTCACGGGCAGGTTCTGGACTGAGTTGTTCAAGCTGTTGGGTTCAGACTTGAACTTTTCCACCAGCATGCATTCGCAGACCGATAGGCAGATAGAACGAGTGAATGGACTATTAGAGGTCTACCTTAGGCACTATGTGAGGGCCACACAAAGGGACTGGCCAAAGCTGCTAGATGTTGCACAATTTTCCTACAACTTGCAAAGGAGCGAGGTAACGAACCAGAGCCCATTTGAGGTTGTGACAGGGCAACAACCACTAACACCCGGTTCGATTGCTGCAGGTTATACAAGGTCGAATCCAGCAGCATACAGGTTTGTCAAGGCATGGCAGGAGCAAACTGACTTGGCCAGAGTCTGTCTACATAAAACGGCAAAGAGGTCGAAGAAGTGGATAGACCAGAATAGGCGGGATGTGCAGTTCCAGGTTGGAGACTTGGTGTTGGTGAAGCTACATCCCATTGTGCGCCACAGGGGGTTGCACAAAGGCCTAGTCCGGAGGTATGAGGGACCTTTTCGAGTAGTCAAGAGGGTAGGCAAAGTTGCCTACAAGCTGGATATACCACCCAAGCTGAGAGTACATCCAGTGTTCCATGTGAGCATGCTCAAGCCGTTCCATGAGGATGAAGAGATCCAGGACGGACAGAGTCAAAGCGTGCACCATTGGGAGCAAGGCCTCATATGAGAAGGAGGTCCACAGCATCATAGTTGATCGAGAGGTGAGACGGAAGAACTATCAACCAAGACAAGAGTACTTTGTGCGCTTGAAGGGACTTCCAGACAGTGAGGCGAGCTGAGAGCCAGCAGATGACTTATGGCAATTCGGGGATCAGATCAGGTAGTACCATGCAGAAAACGCAACGAGGGCGTTACGCAATCAGGTGGGGGAGAATGTCACGCCCTGGGCGAGCGTGCCAGGTGCATCAGGCGCACTAGCACGCGAGCCAGAGGTTGAGGCTCGCAGACCAAGCGCGCTAGCGGGTTTTCGTGCACAAGGCATAAGAGACGAGGCCAGAACGCTCGCCCAGCTTGCAGGCCAGCCCGTGAAGCTAAGGCCTGGCATGCAGGCTGCCCACACCACATCCAGAAGGGTCGAAGGTGCTGGATACGCAACTGAAGCTTCTGGAACCTTGCATGATCAACAGGAGTCTCCTGACAGATTTGGTTGACCCTAAAAATCAGGAATTAGAATCCTGTGTAATCTGTGTAATCTCATGATTTTAGCCTTTATTCTAGGGATATTACCATTAAGTGTAAGCTGGAGCCTCAACTATAAATAGAAGGCTGCTCCATCCTCATTTGTATACCATCAAACACGTCTGTTTCAGTGAATATATAGCATATTCAAGCATTCTGCCTTGTTATTCTGTTTCTCTTTAACTTACGTAATCAACCTTTCTCATTGTTCTAGTGCCTGCAAGCTTGTGTTTTAGGCTGACTTAGGCATAAAGGAGGAGATTCCAAGCCTAAGGCCGTACGGATTCTGAGTCTAAGGTCGGAGCTCGTGACAGTTGGTATCAGAGCGGACAATGCCTCACAAGGGTGTGAACTGTGGCAGGTAGACTGATCTAAGACATCGGATGAGTGGATGCCCGGGTCCCGAAGCCGCACGGGTTCGGAGCTTAAGTCTCGATCCGTGATAAGTGATATCAGAGCTAATCCTATATCGTTCGATCCGCGCCAAGCACTTCAAGGTAGGTAGGCAGGGTGGCCAGCCTCACGAGGTTGGGTGGAAGAGAATGTCACGGACCTAAGGAAGAGTCCTGAATCCCACATCGAACATAATATGAGGGTCATTGGGGTATAAAAGGGTTCACACCACCTCTCTTTTGTGAGTTGCTTTTTGTAGGATAAAATCGTGAGGCCAAGGGGCCAGAGCGGACAATACCTCACAAGAGTGTGAACCGTGACGGGTAGGTTGATCCGGGATGCCGGAAGGGTGAATGTTCGGGTCTAGGAGCCGCGCGGGTTCAGAGCTTAAGTCTCGACCCGTGACAAGTGATATCAGAGCTAGCCCTAAACCGTTTAATCCACGCCAAGCACTTCGAGGAAGGTCGAGAGGGTGGCCAGCCTCCGTGACGAGGGCATCACGAGGTTGGGTGGGAGAGAATGTCACAGATCCTAAGGAAGAGTCTTGAATCTCACATCGAATATAATAGGAAGGTCACTGGGGTATATAAGGGTTCACACCACCTCTCCCTTGTGAGACGCTTTTTGTAGGACAAAATCGTGAGGTCAGGGGACCAGAGCGGACAATACCTCAAAATGGTGTAAACCGTGGCGGTTAGGCTGATCCGAGACGCTTGATGAGTGGATGCCCGGGTCTCAGAGCCGCGCGAATTCGAAGCTTAAATCTCGACCCGTGATACTAACACTTAGCTCCATTCTAGACTTTAGAATTTTTTTTTTATTCCTTGCTCTTTTTTTTATCTATATCTAATACTATCGACTACTCTTACTTGTTACTAGACGACTAAGCAATTCCTTAAAATAAATAAAAAAAAAGGGCTTACAACAAAAAACAAAACCTCTTATGCAACTACGAAAAAAAGTAAATTTTTAGATTTCCCATCTAATTGACTTGCGAAAATATGATAATTTCCTTCATGAATTATTATAAACTTGTTGGATTCACGAGTTACTTGATCTTTCGTTTCTAGCCTTAAACCAATAATAGAATCCCCTATATTATATTCCAGGAATTTGAGGAATTTTCTATCGCATGATACGTGGTTATACATCGACAAGCAAGAAGAAGAAAGAAATTATCTAGCACTTCATGTCGATATACTGTTTGAAATTGCGTTGCTGTGTCAGAAGAAGGATAGCTATACTGATTCGGTATACTCTAAAATTACCTTTGGTACAATATTAACGATCTCACAAAGATTGAATTTCAGTAACTTTTCGTTTATTGATCTCATCTTTTACGGAATCGATCCCCTACAAGGATATGCGGAGCTCAGCATATCTCCTATATTATTAATTGAAGATAGGCCGCGAAAACTCAAAGAACTACAGATGAATGTGCAAAAAAAACTTAATTGTATGAACCGAAAACTCAAGATTGCTATTACAAGAATTGCAAATCCTTACGGGCACCATAATATTCTTGCCGAATTTATAGCCGGACAATTAAAGAATCGAGTTTCATTTCGAAAAGCAATGAAAAAGGCTATTGAATTAACCGAGCAAGCGGATACAAAAGGAATTCAAATACAAATTGCAGGGCGTATCAACGGAAAAGAAATTGCGCGTGTCGAATGGATCCGGGAAGGTAGGGTTCCTCTACAAACGATTGGAGCGAAAAAGCAAGATAATAGTCAATTAAGTTGGTTGGATTTGGATCCTGTGAGAACCATTGGACGATTAAGTCCTTTTGTGTGCCAGAGAGAATGTAACAAATAACCTATGACATCAAAGTGTCAGGATCTCATTTCATTTGCATGATGCTACTGGTCCTTTTTTGGTTCAATATTTTTTGCTTTTGTATGATTTTCATAAAATTGATCCTAATATCTCTGCGCAACTTTTGGAGGATGATGAGCATTTTGAGCAATATGGAAGTAATTTTACATTTTATAATTACGACCAACCCAAAGACTTGCCGATGGAAATAAAAAATACTTACCAAGTTGTAGTTGCTGATCCTCCTTACCTGGTAAGACATAATTTTTGTCAATTTCTTGAATTTACTTGAATTTCTTTTAATAATATGAGGATGCAATTGTTTCAATGCTTGTGTATATTGTGATCTTAAGTTTTGTTCTTTTCTTTGTGATGAAAACCAAATCAAAGGCTTGGAACCAGTTTTATACCAACATATTAATTTAAAATTCCTCTTCTGATGCTTGTAAGTTGGGGAAATCTGTAAGCCTACTGATCTGGTTTATAGAGTTATGCTAGGTATAGTATTGTAGAATGTGTCAATGTTTATACACATTTCTTTCAGAAGATGGTAAACCACTGTTTTGGTTAAGTCTAATATGCAACATTTAGGGTTATAGCAATGGTTTCTACACTTTTCATTAACTCTACCGAGCAGATATTTATATGGAGGTATCTGTTTCTTCAAATTCTGCCATGAGTATACTGCTTTTCACTTGAGTTCATGTTTGGACAATTTTGATGGTATGATACATACGATGTATATGGTTGTTGAGCAAGGAGTGTTTGGAGAAAGTTACTCAAACAATATCTTTTCTTGCACGACCACGAGAATCTTACTTGCTTTTGCTTACAGGTAACCTTTTTTGCTTGCTTTCCAATTCAACATAGCTTGTGATAGATGCTATTGGTTAGTTATCTTTACTACATTACATCTGTAACTCTAATGTAACACATAATACACAGTGTGGAGGTCAATTATTGTTTCAGTGGCTTTTTATAGTAAATCTAAGAGAATGTACCTGATGGCTTGCAGGAGAGGTGATAGAGGTGCTGAGCTCTTTGGGTTTGCATCCCTGCAAGTTTCAGCCATGACACTCTAGCGAACTTGGAAATGAGTTTCGGCTGTTCACAAACTATGAACATTAGGAGGCTGGGAGCAATAAAAATAGGTGCCTTTTTCTTGCCACCATTTACATGGACCTTACTTTGGATTTTCTCCTGAAAAAGCTAGTGTTAAATTCATTATTTATGAAGTTCATGCAACTTAATTTGAATCAATTATCAAGGCATTTGCAATGCTGTCAACACTTAACTCTTCGCCGCAACCTGCTTTTCTGTTCATTTTCCACCTTACAACAGCATTCTTGCCCAGATTCTGAAAACCCTGCACTGCATTTCCTCCTCCCATAATCTTTTCCAAATTTGGGATTATGTATTCTCTCTGCTTTTTCCGTTTTCTCATGATTTTAGATTCCAGATCTCAAAGAATAGGTGTGGCTCATCATCCTATATGGTGTAATTTGACTACACAGATTAACGTTGAGCTCATTGTTGCTGCAAAGAAAGAGAGTGCTTAACCTGCTTGTCATTCATACAGGAGCACATTTTTCAGCTTTCCAATTTGGTCCTTTTTGGTGTCCTTTTCTATCTTTTTCTTTTATTTTTCCCCTCCCTAAAGCTAAGTTTTGCGGTTTGAACTTTGAACTTCTAAATTATTCTTGATAGAAAACTTTTTAACTGAGAAATTATGAGTTTCAACTTTGAATTTACACCTATTTTTTTGACATGTTGCGTTATATAATATAAGTCCAGCTGTCTCTTTCCTGTAAGGAGTATTGAGTATGATTTCCATTTCAAAAATTTGAGCAAGAAAGGGGGCAATTGGAAATTTGTATAATTGCTATGATCAATTAGTAATTTGTAAAATTTATATTATCAATTAAGAAAGGAGGCAATGGAAAATTGTAAACTTGTTTTAATCTTTCTAGTTAATGGATTAGGGTTATAAAATCCGAAATTTAATTTAGTTAGATGATGTAATTATTTTTAAAAAATGATATATATTTGTAATCTTTTTTTATACTCATATTATGATTTTTTTTATAAAAACTTAAATTAAATTTTATTTTTTCAAATTGTAATTTTTTTGTATTAAAAAATAAAATAAATAAATTATCAAATATAATTACTTTAAGTGTCGAATTCAAATTTTAATTTAATTATTTATTGACTATTATTTTTAAAAACTAACATTTAATAAATTAATTATTCAAATTTTAGATCGTTAAGATGCAAATGCAATTCTTTTATATAAAAAATAATTTAAGATGTCTTGATCAACGAATTTTTGTCTTAAATATAACGTCTTATTTATATTTTTAATTTTTTAATTACTGATATTTTAAAATAGAAAATTTCCAGAAATAAATATAGTAGTACTTAAAAAAGAAAAAAAATAAAAAGAAAAGTGGGAGAGTTTTGCCGTTTTATAGACGGACAAATAAAAACAATGGATCCGGGTTCATAAACAAACATCCAAACACGGCCTAAAGCCAGTTGGTTGAGACCTGGGGCTGCAAGTTACTAATCCGGATTCGGATAAACCCAAGATTTGAACCCGAATTTAAATAAAGAAGACTCGATCTTCAAATTCGAAAAGCCCCGATTTAGTGATTTACTACGGTAGTTTCAAGAAGCCTATTTATTATTTCAAACAAAGTCATCAGTCTCACGAAGGAAGGATTTTCAACTTGTTTTTTACGCCAAAAGAAAAAGAAAAAAAAAAAAAAAACAATGAGACCTAACATTGTTTCAGAGGTAAGCTCAGATCCACATTTCTTCCATTTTCCGTTCTCGTTTAGGGTTTTTTTCAGTATTTTGATAACATATGTCTTTGCTTCTTCTTCTCCCTTTTCATCTCTGTTTGGTTGTTAAGAAAATGCTAGAAAAAAAAATAATTTGGAAAATTTTAATGAATTTGAGAAAATTCTAAAAGTTCCATTGAATTCAGTTGACTACCGCTAATTCTACTTAGTTCCGTTGAGTTTGCTTCTATCTTTTTCTTGGCTATATGTTTAATTTGAGAAAAAGTATTTAATTTTAATTATAGTACATTTAATGCAAATGAACTGGTATTAAATAGATTAATACTTAATTTAAGCTGATATTTACAATTAGCTTCTTGTTTTTGTTCTTGTTGCTCTTTCTTTGAAAAGAATTAATAACCAAAGAAGGATCTCTTGTGAATTAATGGTTGCTTTAGAATGGTGGATTTGTGGACTATATTTTTATTTTCTTTAGTATTATTAATTAGTAAGAAAGAGTGTATTTTTATTCAGTGTATGAGTTTTATGAAACTGAATTTTATTTTGGTTATTGGTTTTGATGTACAGGCAGGACTGCAAACTAGAGCAAGGCAATGGTGGGACAATATTCCATTCCTTTCATCTTCTGTGGTTATTGTTTGTGGGGTTGTTTACTTGATTTGCCTTTTGGTTGGATATGACTCCTTTTACGAAATATGCTTCTTGCCAGAGGCTCTTGTATCGCATTTTCAAGGTATGTTCTTGTAATGAGATTCATTTTTGTGATAGATAAATTATAAATATATAGGGTGTGTACTACATTTACAAGCTCCTGGCTTATTGTCCCAAGAATATCTTTTGGTGCAGTATTTGCATAGTATCATACTATTTATAATTCAAAAAACAAGAGTAAATGCCTCTGATGAATGTATTAGTTGGTCTTGGAAAATTTTATAAGTCTAGTTGAAAGCTGTGCTGGCAGACTCCATGAACCTGCCTGCTACCCCATTTCATTCCAGGCCATGATTTACAATCTTTTCCTAATCTTGTTGAGATTGGTGTTTGACACCTATATGATAGGCCTTAGAGAACCGGTGTTAATAAGCATTTTTTTTCAGCGGTCTTGTCTAGGCTGCATCTTTGCCTATAGATAGGCCTTACATTCCAGAATACATGGATTCTCACTTTGGTCTTTTCTAATTGTATTTTATGCAATTTAGGTTCCCAATAAGAGATAACTCATGGCAGCAATTCATTAACTAATTAAAAGAAGAATGTGTTTCATTTGTTTTTTCTTTGATGCCACTGTATCTGGTGTTTATTGTCTCTTTTCTGAAAGTTACCATTCTTAATTTATTCTTCCTTGTTGCAGTTTACCGGATTTACACTTCCATTATTTTCCATGGTTCACTGTTACATGTTTTGTTCAACATGTTGGCTTTGGTTCCTTTGGGCTCTGAACTGGAGAGAATCATGGGATCTATTCGATTGTTGTACACGATAATTTTGCTAGCAACTAGCAATGCTATCTTTCATCTTATTATTGCATTGGTGGTGGCCCATAATCCTTTCCGCTCATATCAGAATCTCATGAACGAGTGTGCGATAGGCTTCTCTGGAATCTTATTTTCTATGATTGTTATAGAGACAAGTCTGAGTGGTGTTCAATCTAGGAGGTTAGTTTCTCCACAACCACCGTGGAACAATATTTCCTGACAATTTTTTTTTTATTCTTCCCTTCTCCAAATTTTCATTAAAAAAATTTTTTTTTGGAAAATTATAACTTTTCTGCCTACTTTGAGACATGGTAGTGTACATACAAGCATGACCAACTATATTCTTGATGCACATGCATGAGTAGTAGTTTGTTCCTACATACTGAGAATCTTGCTGCATTGACATCCAATGTGCAATCAATTATGTGTGTGATGCACATAAATGTCCAAATACTTGTCTCTTGCATCTTGAGAATTTTGATGCAAAGGTTTCTTTTAATTTGGTTCTATTCAATGGTTTTTTGACTGATTCATGACTTTCTTTTCTTTGCAGTGTGTTTGGTCTTTTTAATGTTCCTGCAAAATGGTAAATGCAGTCACTTGCTTCTGTAATGTTTGGTATCTCCCATTTTCCTTATAAGTTCTGTGCTATATAACTAGATATGTGTTTCAGGTATGCATTTATCTTATTGGTAGTATTCCAGCTGCTTATGACAAATGTCTCATTACTTGGACACCTCTGTGGCATTTTGTCTGGCTTTGCATGTATGTCTCCTCATTTGTTTTTGAAAACTTACCTTTCCATCATAAATATGGTTTTAGCTTGAAAATTATTTATGGTTGTCAACTTTTTCAGATACCTATGGCTTATTCAATTTCTTTATTCCTGGACCATCCTTTTACTCTGCCATTGAGACCTCGTCTTGGCTAGTAAGTATTTTGATGGAACTGGCTGGTGATAACAATTGATGTTCCTTTACTACGCCTTTTGAATTGCTTCTCCGCATTTAGCTTTTGAATCGTATTAGGATCTCATTAATCCTATCTGATATCAAATGATGTGCTTTTCAACTCAATGTTGAACTGATATTATCTAGCTAATGGTCAATGGTGATATTGTTATACTAGGCTGTCAGTTGCTCTGTATTATTAACCTCAGCATGTGTAGGTGTTGCCTTAGTCATTGGCCAAGGTTGTATACTTCATGACAGTGAACCTTGCATATTTCTCTCACTTAGGATTATTGATTTCATATCAAGACCTTACAACTTTTAAATTTTTGCAACTCACTTTTTGGTACATAGATGCACAAAAATTATTGTTAGGAACTTGCTAGCTTAGTTTTGTATATTTAGTCCTCTTTATATCAGAAGAACTCATTTTACTTCAATAAATCGAGTATTAGATATGGCTAATTGTATGCTATTGGCAAGAGGTATATAATGGAGCTGATGTACTGTGGGAGCATGCATTTATGCCTGTATGCATGTGCAATCTCTGTCAAAGAAGCCTTGTATTGGAATTCTTGGAGTTACTACCCAAATCCTTTTCACCATCTGAGTTGGTCGTCAAATGCCATTAACCACTATATATTCTATCACTATCTTTCCCGGTCCTCTATAAAATTATTTGAAGCCTAATAAGTTTGTCATACCCTCAGTTCCTTTTTTTTTTCCTTTTTTTTTCTTTCAGATAAGTTTTATTTCTTTTCTTTTTTTTTACTTGGAATCAGAATCTGTGAAAATTTTCAGATGAGTTACTGGTAAGGAATTATGAAATGTTAATTTTTTCCTTGTTAGATGATCTTATGCAATACCACTTTGATAGTTACATTAACAAGATGATTGGAATATTTGCATCTTTGTTTCACAAATGATTTTATGGTTATTATAATCTAAGGCTGTTCAAATCCTCTTCAGGCCAGCTGTGTGAGGCGACCTAAATTTATTTTGTGCAGTGGTGGAAATCCTTCAGCCTACATCCCCACTTTCTCGGGTCAAAATTCCCCCTCCAGGTATATTTTGCTCACCTTGATCAAATCTGTTTTCCTCCCCTCTTATGAGATCCTTATCTGATAATTTTGTTATACAGTGGATTATTTTCTGGAAACATTTGGAGAAACTTGTCTTCCTGGATGCCTCAGAGGGAGGCAGCTGCTCAGGTTTTAAGTCAATAGCCTTTGGATAATTTTTTATATTGTTCTTTTTCTTGGCCAAGAACGTTGTGCTCTATATTATATTTTCATCCAGTAGCTGCTCTTATGTTTTAACCTATGCAGTGCCTGTCTTTTGCCATGTAACTAACAGCTTTGGAATTTTGATGAAAAGAATCTATCTAATTATCTATCATGAGGCAGAAACCCTTGCATTTGTTGGAGTGAATGCCTTTAAGCATGTTTGGTGAAATTATTTCATATCGCAATACAACTTTGAAGAAAATGAAACGATGATCTTGTGTTGTTTTTGTGCTTTATCTTGACTGTGGCTTCCTTGAGCCCTTTAGTTTCAAAAGCCTGGTCAAAGATAAATTGATGTGATAATTCTTGATAACATGCAGTCAGCACAAGATGATTCCAGATTTCCTGGGAGAGGGAGAACTCTTGGTTCTGGTCAAAATATTGCTGTTGGTTCAGATTTAAACCTACAAGCGAGACTTTTGGATAATGGTAGTCCCAATAATCCATCGGATATTGCAGCGGTTGGTACAGGGGAGAGGCTTTCAAATGAAAGGTATCAGGAAGTGTTTTTCAATCATATTGTTTTTCATTTTGATCACTCTTCTCAATTGGGCTTACTGATAGTGTCTTTTCTTTTCTTTTTCCTCTTTAGTCTGAAAGTTTGCCAATATCAATCTGGCTTCTGTCATGCACTTCTAGTTTAGAAATCTTAGCATCCATTTCAGGAACTTGATATGGTGGTGGTGATTTCTTTTATTATGAGATCTTATTCGGTCTTTTAGTCATCCTCAAACTCCCATTCTAGCGCTAGTGGCCTTGCCTAAGAAGCTGCTGTTTGTTGTGGCAATGGACTTCTCCAGTTTGTATAAATTTATTTATAATATTTGTTGAAATCCTAATGTAACTCCATTGAGTTTTAAAAAGACCGTTGCGGTTAGAAGTTTTCTTCTTAACAAGCTTCGTTTTTCCAGGCATTAACATCTTTTGATCTGTGATCGTTCTGTTCTATATTACCCCCAATTTTTCTCAATGTGGCATTTAGGCATGCTTTTCTAAAAACTACAGCTGGTTTGTATTTTGAAAAGAAATTAGATTGAAGCGTCCAATTCTGGAGTTTATTGCAAGTGTATCTTATCCAACTCCCTTTGGTTTGAATTTGAATAGATATTATTGCAATGAGCAAACCATGTTTTGCTAAGGACCTTGTGTTGATTCCATATCTTAAGTTGAATGTAATCAAGTTTGTCCTTTACTTTTCTATGCAATTGACCGGTCATTTAGTGTTTCCTGTTCATCTTTCAGGCGATCACAGGTGAATAATGCAGTTGCAGCCGCTGCTGGAAGTCCTCCACTTCCTCAGGTTTCTTTCTCTTATTTAAAAATTGTTTTCTTATTTCTGTTTAGAATTTGTTTTAAGGTTAATAAGATCCTTCATCAATTCTTTGGTTTTCATGTCTGCCAGATGCAACAGGGTTCAATTGCTTCCGATGAACAGATCCAGAAACTTGTATCAATGGGTTTTGAAAGGGTAACAATTAGATCCCCCTCATTTTGCAGGATTTATAGTTGTACATTTGTATTATAAGATGTTTGCACTATTTGACTTTTATGTATCCCCTATATATTATATAATGTTCGTTTTGCATGGCTTTCATGGTTCTACATAATTTGTGTGGCATATCTACTGGTTACTTTTTCGGGAACATAGTAATTTTATTCTGTAATCATGTGATGGCTACATATACAATGACACTTGCATATCAAAGTATATGCTGGTGGTTGCTAGCATACTTTAATGCACATTGACACGCTTACAAATCAGCACTATGATAACCGTGCATATACTTGCTTGCAAACACTTCTGCTTTAACGTGGAGAGTGATGAAAATGCCTTGGGATTGTTTCAGACACAAGTAGAAGTGGCAGTAGCAGCTGCTGATGGAGATCTTAACGTGGCTGTGGAAATTCTTATGAGCCAGCAGGTACGTGCTTGAGAACTGCGACTCTTAAGTGATTGGCCTTTTCTTATTCTTATTTTCGGGATTATGGTGATTTTACTACAGGGCTGACCTACAAAGATGTAATCTGTATTGACCTTTGAACTAGAACCCCTCAAGCTCGATTCAAGTGGCTTAGTTCCTGCGCCTTCACGTCCATATTGTATTTGGTTCTATGGGTACTGTATAGCATTTCTGACACTAGCCAACAAAACACAGAAAGAAATATTATGAACTGCAGCAATTGTACTAACTTTTGTTTGAAGCTTTGTGCCATACAGGACCTTGACACTATTACTCAAATCATAGCCTTTGTCTCCAGAATTTTGCCAGATTTAAAAATTTGCGTAATTTTCGTTTTTATCCCAGGATGCTGATTTGTTTTAGACACCAGGATCTGAAAACAACGATCCCTCCTCAAATAGTCTGGCTCTGATTTCTGAGATCCCCAGGATAGCCCGGATCTGATACCTAGAATCGAAAAGCTTTTACACCAGTTTGTTTGGAAATTTTAGCTGAAAGATAATACTACTTTGTTGTGATATAACCATGTGCCCAAAACAATAGTAGAAGAAATATGACAATACATAAATTCACCAGAAAATTGGAGTTGTAAAACTAAGGTTAAATTTATAGCCTTCATGGCTAGAAAGATCAACCACATTAGCCAACTTTGTCCGCGGACTTAGGTAGATTGGGCATTCAAGTAACGGCTTTCAATAAAGGTTTGTCTGGTGACATCTAGAATGAACGAAAGCTGCAGACTTTACAGATTGGCAGAATGATGACGGCAAATATTTCTCAAAAAGTTTCACCTACCTTAACAAGATGTTTGTAGATTTCGGCTGACAAGATGATATATATCTAGTGCACAAATCCTAACGAAAGTGATAATCTTGAAGCGGGACGTAAGCCTCCAATAATCTACTACCAAGAAAGATTCCAATGTTTCCTGATCATGTATCAGTATCCTGATAATCAACACTTCTGGTGGTACTTCAGATGAGTTGATCACTACTTGACTCATGGACGGCTCATCTGAAATTTTATCTCCTAAGCCCTTCCTGCTCACACCATCTAATACTTTTATTGAAGGGTCTTCTTATCAACAGGAGAATTGAAAGAGATTTTGAGAAATTACCTTGCCCGCCAGCAAACTGTTCGAAAAAGAAATGATTTCCATGCCTGTTTGGCAAGCGTGGTTTTCTTCTCCATTTAGCTTTCCTAAGATCCAAACCCCTCCTTGCTTCTAGGATGGCTGATGGTCTCCCACTTCTTATAAGTGAATCCTTCACTTATAATCACGCTGACACCAAAAATTCAGCAAACTGCTGCATCAATCTGATTGCATAATCCATAGGCAAAGAACACGAGCAATTAAGGGTATTGCTTTCTTTGTGTTAAAGGGCTTTCCAACCATTTCTTATGATATTTTACTCCATATAGAGTTCACAAGCAAACACGATTAACTCTATATATCGGTGCCATTGGAAAGACAAATCCTAGGGAAGCCTTAGTCTTTGCTTTTACTTGCTGGCCTGATCCCTTGGTGGCTTCACAATTAGAGTTGGACATTTTGCATGGTGTGCACAATAGTCACTTACACTTCCTAAGAAGACTCTGCAAATCACCAACAAATTTAATTATATTAGCAACCAAAATGCCGCAAAATTTTTGAAAAGTAGATTGGTCTAATTATATAAAACATGAACATGGATTCTGATATTTGGCCTTTGCTCTAGTACTATTAGATTTATGGTTTATCACTCGGCATAGTTGCATAGTTACAATAAAGTAAAACAAAATATGTTGGGAGATGACCGAAAAAAAAAAAAAACTTAAACAGTCCATAAAAGTATTGAAAGCAAGGGCAAATGATGGTAGACAATGAAACAAGACTGAGAAGAGAGGAGAATAAAATTGGGAAGAGAATTTGAAAGAAAATTGTAGGAAATCTGCCAAAATCTAAAATCTCTTAAATAAATTATGAGAGCTCTCATAGGTTTCCAAAATGGGAATGGGAGTTACATGATATGTGTATTAAGTACATACAATGATAGAAATTGATAGTTACAAAAAGTGTTTATGCTTTATCTAATGGGAGTTAAGTATTGGGTGAATAGTGAACATTTGGTGATAATAAATAATAAGCATAAATGTTCATTATTTATTCTGACAGAAAAAAAGGAAAAAAAAAGGGAAAAGCACTCATGCCGAGAAAGATCAGGGAAAGGTTAAGAGGTCAACTAAAATGTATGATGTTTAAAATTACCTTTTAATCTTTCCAAGGCCACGGCAGCCAACAATAAGGAGGTCGACATTCATTTGTTCACTAATTTCACATATCATATCCTTTGGATCTCCCTCAAGAGTCACAGTTTTTGTTTTGATCTACATTATTATTGATCCAATCTATTTGCCTTCATATCTTTCTTTTTGTCAGTTTCCATATCATATGCTCAATTTAAATATTGCAAAGACAAATAATAAGTTTGAATGGCTATATAACTGAATGTTGCTCAAGTTCCAAGCATGGTTCGGAATTAGATTGAAAATCCTTCAAAAATGGCACAAAATAAATGTTCTTGAGTTACCACCTTCTTGTTGCATATCTCTAAAGCACGGGAGAGAATACCAGCTGAAATTTGTTCTTGGGATTTCCTCACCAGTGTAGTTGATGGATAAGCTGCTTCTTAGATGAGAAACCAGGAAATCATATGCTATTGATAGTACTTAGCAATTGTTGATCAGAAAAAAGGAAAGTGGTGAAGAAATTAGCAAGATATAACAAGACAACACAATTATATCAAGGATTATACAGCTTTTTCACTTACCTGCAACTCCTGGTCCAGCAGGGAAGGCAGAAGGGGCGACGCCATAGTGCTTGGGAGGTTGCTGTACATGAACCAAGGTGAGCAAGCTTGGTTCCCCACCAGCTACACCTGGTGACGCACCGATCAGGCCATTGAAAAGGTTATTGACGGCCCATTCAAGAGCATAGAAACTCTCATCGCTCTCATCAATACCCACCATAACTCTCGTTTTTTCCCCTAGCAAGCAATGAAATGGAAAATCCTTTCAATTGTGTTTTTATATGCCAAAGACGAGATTCTTGTTGAATATTTGAATGTGCTGTTTGAATGTTGATTGCACACTTGGAAACAAGTATGGGAAACGGAAGTTTGGGATGACATGTATTGAAAGAGCTGGCATCATGCTTTTGGTTCAAAAAATTCCAGTGTCTGCATGCAAAAGTTGTTGTAGTTTATGCCACGGAAACCATCTGTTTCACAATTTATGTAGGTACCAAGTGGCAACCTTCACTGGGAAAATAAGAATTCCCCAATTCTCAATTCCACTTTTCATTCCTTAAAATAAAGAAAAAAAAAAAGGTGAAAGATTCGAAACAATGAGAATTATTATAATATCTCCAACCTCACATTCAAAAATGCATTTTTAATTTTACATTAAAAGAATGCGCCTTCAATTTCACATTAAAAAAATATGTGAATATAATATAATATGATATGTATATAAAAATTTAAATCAAAATCTGTAAGATATCTTTTGTAGAATAAAATCATAAGATCTTCGAGTCAAAACGGATAATATCTTATAAATTAAATACTAATCTCCATAAATATTAGTAAACCTTTAGATCAAAACAAACAATAACAAATAATACTTTACAGATCGAGGATTAATATTTGGGGATTAGTTCAGTGCTAGATAGCAGAACTAGTAAGCAATTTGTTTAGCTTGAACGTATAGTGAGTGTTAAATTTTTTTGCATTTTTATTTATAATATATAAAAAATTATAGATAAAATTATTAATTTTATCAATAAAAATAATTTTTAAGAATTTTTTTTAATTTTTTAATTTTTAAGACATTCATGAACACTCTAAATAAATATGTTGATTCACATGAACACTGGTCGCATGTGTCATAAAATTTAAGTTTATGTTGAAATTTATTTTATTGATATATTAAGTCCAATAGGCTAGATTAAACCTTGACCAAGCTTTTTAAAAAACCCCACCGATCCTGACCTGTCTCACTTAATTTACTGGTTCAAAAATGTTAATGATAAATAAAAATAAAAATGACTTTTTTCTCCCAATTTTATTTAATACCATGGTGAAAGTGGTAATTTTCTTTTTTAAAAAAGAAATGTACATAACACGTTTTAGCCGGCCGTATAGAATTCAACAATTGCACAAGTAAACAAAATTAGGATACGCTTTGTGCTGATGATAACAACTATAGAATAGAAAGCCGCTCAATTGGGCGCATTGGTCGCTGCTTCGTTGGCTTCTTTTGGTGGCTTAACAATAAGGACGGGGCAATTTGCATGATGAGCATAATAGTCACTTACACTACCCAAGAAAGCTCTGCAACCAAATTAAATAAAACAAGCAAATTTACAATTACAAGCAATCAATCATCAATCAATACTTAATCGTATGAACGAAGAAATATTAAAATTACGTTTATTCAATTTTTTTAAAATTGTAATATAAAAATTTTAAAAAAATTTATGTTAAAATTTAAATTTTAAATCTGTTAAATAATGTTTTTAAATGTAATTATATAAATTAAATAAAATAAATTTTGATTTAGATTCAAAATTTTGTTAATAAAAATGATAATAGTTCGAATCAAATTGAATTAGATTCAATTTTTTTAGATAATATATAATATTATAAATTTTTAAAATTTGATTTTTAAAATTGAATTGAATTCTATTAATTCGATTTAATTCAATTCATTGACTTTTAAAGTTTAATTTTTTATATATTATTTTCATAAAATTTTTAATATATTTAAATAGATTTATATATAAAATAATTATTTTTATTTTATAAAAATTTAAAATATATATAAATTAATAAAAATATAATTCGATTTAATTTAAATTTTTTATTTTTCATATCTCGATTCAAAATTCAATTTGAATTTAATATATGTGATTTGAATTTAATATATACATTTAATATTTGAATTTGATTTAATCTAAAATAAAAAAAATCCAACTAAACACTATAATTTCAAATTAATGTTTTGCTTTCTTGATTTTTTTTCTCATTGTTAGGTACATTAAGACATCTTAGGATTTGCCATAAAGGTAATTTATAGAAATCACCTCTTAATCTTTCCAAGGTTGCGGTTGCCTACGATAAGAAGATCAACATGCATTTGCTCAGTTGCTTGGCATATCTCTTCTTTTGGATCGCCTTCAAGAATCAAAGTCTCTACTTTAACCTGCATGCCAAAAAACAACGTTTAAATAAGATCATATGGCAATGCATGAAAGCATGCAATTAGCTTATTACTTCTTTAAAATATACATAGGAATTCTTTTGTGGTATACCATTTTATCCTTGCACATATGCGATGCACGATTGAGTAAAGCTTTCGAAATTTGTTCTTGATCATTCTTTATCGATTCCTCCACTGAAGATGGCATGTAAAATGCTGTAGAAAACACAACAAAACTTATATGTTATTTTATATTACATCTTATTGCCATAATTGAATGAAGATAATAATTTATTTGATCACTTAGTATAAAACTTGAATGGAAACTCAAAACAATTGATTCTTCATTCTTCAAGAAAGAAGAAAGAGGCGATCACAAATGGAATAGTCTGATATATATGTGGTGATCTGACCTGTGCCTCCGGGTCCAGCAGGGATAAGGTAGCGGTAGAAAGGCTGCTGAACATGAACAAGAGTGATCAGCAAACCATCGTCTTCGCTAGCTTCAGGTGCGGCTGCTGTGACACGATCCAAGAGGTTATCAAGGGTCCATTGGAGTGCATGGAAACTCTCATCACTCTCGTCAATACCCACCATTGCTCTCATCTTTCTCACCCCCTGTTCTGGCCTCAAAGGTTGATGCTGCAGCGGCTGCAGCTTTTCGGTCCTTACAGTTGAAGCAGTACTTGTTGTTTCCATCTCCGAAACTTCTCTCTTTCACACGCAAACGGTAGATTTCTTGAATCCATCTTCATTTAAATAACGAAAGGGAGGGTGGATCTGATTGCTTCTGGATATTGTTGATATTACACTTGGAAAGTCGATAGAGACAAAACTTACGTGGAAGTTTGCAATGGCGACAGAGAAAGAAACGTGGCATGCATGGAGAAGAAAATTCCAAATGTAATAAAAAATATTAAAATTATTTTACCAATCCAAAAATTTATAAAATAAAAAAGAAAAATTTAGAAAAAAAATGCAGACAATCTCATCAGACCTGATCGCAATCACCACATGCAGTTGCGAACAATTTCGGAACAGTACAAATAACATCAAAATCAGGATCAACAAATAAAACGATTCCCACCAGGCTCAAGACTATGAACAACAGGCTGAGAAACATCATCAGTGCAACAAATAAATGTAATGCATCAAACCCACATCGATTTATAGAGGATAAATTACACCACGATTTAACTCAAATATGAAGATGAAATCCCTCAGATGAACCAAGATAGTTCAGAATCAATCCCTTTTAATAATATAAACAATTTCATGTTTAAAAGTTGAATCAAGATTGTTCAGAATCTGATCAACATAATCATTTCACAATGTCAACTGAACAGTTGAACATTTAACAAAGATATCATGGCATACAAATGAGATACAACATTTAAAACAAAAGGCTAAAATAATAAAAGAGTGTATGAATTTTACCATTTTATTTAATTAAGTTTTTATATTTTTATTATATTTAAATAAAATTTTATTATGATAAATATGATTTACATTGTTATAATAATTATAATCCTAAACTTTACCCCAAATACCCCTAAATTTATTATTCCACGGTCGGACTGTCAGTTTCTATATAAAAGAGTATTAACAAATTATTTTGGTATAAATGGTTTACATTGTTATAATAATTACAATGTAAGATGTCAAATAGGATTTGATTTATTTCAAATTGAATTAGGTCATTTTAGGTTTGTTATTTTGATTAAAAAAATTTCAGTTATTTTAAATTTGGATCAATTTGAGTTTAATTTTTTGAGTCATTTTGAATTTATATTATTTCAAGTTTGGATATTTTGAATTTAACTTTTAGATTATTCAAAATTTGGTCATTTTAACAACCAAATTGTTGAATTTTAAAATTAAATTAATTCAATTTTAAATTATATTTTAAAATCATTTGAGTTCGGATTATTTTCAAATCAAATTAATTCGAGTTTAAATTACATTAAATTTGAGTTGGTCGACTTCATATTATTGATTCTTTTTTGTCAAATTAAATTAATTTGTATTCAAATTTGAATTAATTTTGATTATTTGTGTAACTTAATATTTTGTTACTATTTTTGAAGGAATCTTTTCTTATTACCTAATAACATTATAAATGTTATTTTTAAAATTTGATCAAATCTTAGCTTTCTTAGCTAAAAAGGAAAGGAAAATGATAAGGTTGTACCTCATTAACCGAACAAAAAGCAATATAAGTTTTGAAGTTCAATAGTTCTAAGCTTTTACACAATCAAATATACTAGCAAATCTTAATGTACAAAAGAAAGTAAGAATGCACCAATATTTAACATTACATTTTACAACAGCATATCATTTATAATTTTATAATATAATTAATTAATTAAAATTTAAAATTACATAAAATTTATCAAAATTTTATATAAAATTTACATTTATAAATAATAAACTTCTACATAAAATTTTATTTTAATTGAACGATTGTTAAATTTTAATAAAAAAAATTATAAATGATATGCTCTTACTTGTACTATTTTTGAATGTTTGTCGAAAATAAGAGTTAACCAAAAGAATACACCAACAAAAGCTATTTTAATGTCAGACTTTTTTTTTTTTGCGTACTTTAATTATATTATTATTTAAAAAATTAATTTAGGGGTAAATTTTTTATTTATATATATTTTTAAAAACAAAATTATAAATAATAAATAATAAATAATATAATAAAAATATTAATAAAATGAAATCCATATTTTATAAAATGACATTAAAAATTGAAGAGGACTATTTGCACTCCATTATATTATTTTCACACTTCAAAATTTTTTTAAAAATTTTTTTAAATGAAATTATATGAGTTTATAAATTCATTTACAAAAAAATTTATAACTTTTCCAAAATTTAAAACATTATATTTTTGAAAAATTATAAAATATTTTGAAAATTTATTTTCAAAAAGTTTTAAAATTTAAAAAATTATAAAAAATAATTTTTAAAAAACTTTAAAATTTTAAAAAATTATAAAATAATAGTTAAACAGTTTCACTAAAAAAAAAATGCGAAGACAAAATTTTTTTAACTTCCCAAATATCTATAATACCCCTCCCGTCGATGTAAAACTCGAATGGCCTTGTTTATGTACTCCTTTCGTGAGTCGCTTTGCAGCGCCCGCTTCTTTCCTTCCCCTTCCCTTCATCAAAATTCGCAGTTCATTTTTATTTCATTCTCCTCTTTGATTTTTAGTTTTCTTTTTAGTTTCTCCGATTTCTGATCGGACCGTCCACATCTCTCTCTACTCATGACTATGATGACTACTCCGCCGTTAGATGTACATATCATTCTTCCCTCTCTTCACTCTCAATAAATACTTTAATATTTTTCTTTGATTTTTTTTCTTGGTGGAAGTTCTTAAACGATTTTTTTTCTGAAATTTTTTTATTTTTTAAATGGAGAATTGATTAATTAGACGTTAATTTCTTGGAATTGATTTTGTTTGTCTTAATGCATTGATAGTGTGATAATTAGGGTTTTGATCGAGAGAGTTAGGGTTAGGTTTTGGTTGATCAGATTTGTAAGTTTGGATTTTGAAACAGCAAGAAGACGAGGAGATGCTCGTGCCACATTCGGATATAGTTGAAGGACCTCAGCCAATGGAAGGTTTTTTTTTTAATTCCTTCTAGAATTTTTTTCGTCTACTCTAATAGACATTATTTTTGGACAATCTCAGTGTGATCTGAAAGATTGGTTTTGTTTGTAATTATGGTGTGAATGAGTATGGAATAATAATTTGATTAGTTAGGTTGTTAGGGTTTTGAGATTTTTTGTTGATTTTATTATTTTGATTAATTTTAGTTGCTCAAGTCGAGACGGCTAGTACGCTTGAGAATCAGCAAGTGGAGGATCCTCCATCGATGAAATTCACTTGGACAATTGACAATTTTTCTAGGCTCAACACCAAGAAGCACTATTCAGATATGTTTGTTGTTGGTGGTTATAAATGGTAAAGGGAGACTTTCTTTGTTGTCGTTAATGGAATATTTTTTATGTGGTCTGCTGCAATCTGTCATGTGATCGATTTTTGGATTTTGTGTTGATTCATCTGTGCAGGCGGATACTAATTTTTCCAAAGGGAAACAATGTGGATCACTTGTCAATGTACCTGGATGTTGCAGATTCTTCTGCATTGCCATATGGTTGGAGTAGATATGCTCAGTTTAGCTTGGCAGTGGTTAATCAAATCCATCACAAATATTCAATAAGAAAGGGTATATTCTTACTGTTACTAAGTTTGGCGCTTTGTCGAAGTAATAATTTATGACAACAGCCTTTATTGCAAATCCTACACTTTTCATTCCTATATATGTAGGCTTCGCTTTAATGTAATCTTGCATCGCCTGGAAAGAATTTGTTTCTTGCACTTGTAATCAGTGCTTGATTGTGTCTTTTATTATGTAGTGTTCATTCATTGGCTTTGTTACAGTAGGTGATGGTTCAGGGTGAACGTATTTCAGATACAATTATGCAGTTTTTTGAGCTGAGGCTTAGGAACAACAATGAGGAGATTCATGATTTGGTTTCATCTATTTACATATTTATTTCACTTGGATGTTGAGAAGTTTTGATTAGATAGGAAATAGGATGTTAAGAAGAATCTGTTGTAACATTTATAAAATTCCAAAATTAGAGAGGTTTTGATGGTAATTAAAAGTTCATGAGTAAGCTTTCTTATTGCTCTATATGTTAGGATCTTCCTTTTGATGATAATGAAAATTTAGTGGTACTCAATACTGTCTTATTTCGCTATAGATTAGAATCTTCCTTTTGACATTCTATCTATTCAATCTGTTATTGAATTATTTCTAGGTTTTCAGACTGCTAGTTATTAACAGGATGTTAACTATATTTGTTATGTCCTTTTTCCTTATTAATTTTCTCCCTCAAGCTTTCTGTTCCAAATGGAGTGATAACTAGATCTTTTATGTAACATTGCCTTGTTCTATATTTTTATCTTTTCTATTTTCAAGTTGCCTTGCTTGGAAGTTGAGTTTGCAGAATTGTCATCCCTATATTATGGCGACCAAGTAATATTGCAGAATTGGAAAAAAGTATGCCCATGGTTATATTTTAAGAATGAAATTAGGATGAAAGGGTTATAAGTTATAATGTTGCAATGTTTTCCAAAGTTGATAACTTGTTCCAGGATAGGGTGATTAGATGCTTTCCTCTCTTGTTGGATAATTTTTTGTTATGTTTATTGCAAGCAGTCTGGTGTTTAGTGGATGTAATTGATGTATAGCTGGGAAGAAAGGAACGTTTGTGATAGTGTAGATTCTTTCTTGTCATTCCTATTATATGGCTACCGACTATTCAATATTAAAGATCATCCGAAACTTATTTAGTGCCTTGTTTTTAACTTTCATTTGCAGACACTCAACACCAGTTCAATGCAAGAGAGAGCGATTGGGGTTTCACATCATTTATGCCTCTCAGCGATCTTTATGACCCTAGCAGAGGATATCTTGTGAATGATACTGTTGTTGTTGAAGCTGAGGTTGCTGTCCGTAAGATACTGGATTATTGGTCATATGACTCAAAGAAAGAGACTGGTTATGTTGGACTTAAAAATCAAGGAGCAACTTGTTACATGAACTCGCTCCTACAGACTCTGTACCATATACCATACTTCAGAAAGGTGCGGATTCTGTCTCATTTTTATTTCTTTAGGCTTGCTCTTATGTTCTTACTGTAATTGGAGTGAAATGTCTCATATTTCAATGTTTTATTT